TTTCGTTATGGATACATTAAATTTCGCTGCTATGTCGCTGAGTTACTGATACGTTATAAGGAGACATCTTGGAGACGACTGCAAACTACATCGTAAGTCGAGTGGATGTAACTTCTACATCCTCGCAACTTACAATGCAACATAACAGGCCTAGATGAGATGACATCGCATGAACATCTTCGCGATGTAACTGTCTTTGCTGGGTTCAATGCTGGAAGACCTAAAAGGTGCAACTCCTGCAATACATTTTGTTTTAGAATTGTTCAACACTCAGGGATGCACAGACTTATAGGGAACAGGGTTCACTCGGGAACTAACACGGGCCACTACAAAGAATACATAACACAAAGTGTCATTTTTTAACCTGTCAACAGAGATGAAATGTGATGCTTTTTTCTCGTCACACTATCAATACATTCATCATTATAGTTCTGTGAAACTGAAATGCGGACCTTCGTCATTATCGAAGCACTTCTTCTCAACTCTAATTGAAATTTAGCCACCATGACAGCCTATGACAAGTACCTAGTTGATTTTTTCATAGCTTCTATGATTCGAAAATTGGCAACGTTATGCATAAGATGTAAGTGTATCAATATTTTTAAATCGATTTCACCCGATACATCTAATCAATCCGGAACAAGAGCACCTTTTTTTGTGAAACGGTGTGGATTTTCATAATCCGAGATTAAGTTGTCGAAGAATATGCACACAAAAAATATGAACAAAATTTAATGTAGTCCCACCATGTACTATACACTCCTGAATGAAACTTTGGAATGATTTTATGTTCACCGCATTGAGCATAAGAAGTTTAGATCTTGTACCAAATTGCATCATTTTATCACGTGGGGTTACGGAAATATTCAAGAAATATCATCTTCAGGAACCCCCTTTCAGGGGGCAGTAGCTCCCTTAGGAGACTTTCCTCGACTCACGTTGATTTAAAAAAAACGAACAAATTTTCATAAATAGTATAATTCGTCAGAAATGAGACAGGGTAAAAATTCCATCAAAAAACCAACGTCACTCATTCACAGAATCTTTTTACTGACGACGAAAAGAAAAACTTCATCTCAATGATTTATTGATTGATTGATTAATAGCAGAATGATCAGTCAGGGTTCGAAGCCCAAAACACTGCAGCCTTTGGGCCCATTGTATTCCTGATCATGCTGTTGACTTAGGTGAACAGGTTCGCTACCTTGATGAGGTTCAGCAGCCTTTTCACCAAATCATTCTTTGAAAATGCCTCTTGAGAGTTTACTGCTCCCAGAAGGTTGTATCTCCAACGCGCTAGTGCTTCGCACTCCAATATTACATGGGTGGCAGTTTCCTCCTCCTCATTGCATAGTCTGCATATGGGTTCGTCTGTATAGATGCCCATTTGATGCATATGTTTCCTCAAGGAGCAGTGACCGGTTATTAGTCCCGTCACTTGTTTGATCTGACTTCTGTTTAGGCTCAGAATGTCGTTAGTCACTGTTTTGGACAGTGTTCCAACCATCAGTTTACTGTGTCTTTGTCCTGGGCCATTGTTCCAGTATGCCTGATGTATTTCTTGCATCCACCTTGCCAGCCAGCCACGTATTGAGGTTTTGGGGATACCGAACACAGAGGTTCCGGTCCCATAAACAACGTCACAGACCCTTGCCTGGCAAGAGCGTCAGCTGCTTCATTGCCTTCAATTCCCTTATGCCCTGGCCCCCATTGAAGAGTTACCTTGTTGTGGTTAGCCAGGGTTAGCAGGCTTTGAAGGCAATCCCAGACCAGTTTTGATCTGATTTTATCGCATGTTGAAGATTGAATGGCCGCCTGACTATCTGAGCATATGAGGATTTGTTTACCTCTTTATCCTCTTACAATATTTTGTCTCAGGCATGCCTCAATAGCATGCATCTCTGCCTGGAATACTGAAGCATCTCAATGAACATATGACAGGCCTCAGGCAGAGGAGGATATAAAAGTAGGAACACATTCTTTGCCATTGTGAGGGTATGTGATGACTGAGTTTCTCAACGTTCCAGAAATATGTATTCAAAAAACATCTGGAAGCTAGCCAATGAAGTTTCATAGAGAAGATGGGGAGATGAAGTACTCCCTGCCACTCCCGTCTATTGCATATTTCTTGTTAGGATGATCCACCTTTTTTCTCGGTAAATATGAAAACTCATTTATCCATTATTGATTTATAGCATTCGATATCTGCCAATTTACTTAAGCCGATAAAACATCTAACTGGAATTGTTTAGCTCGAATGTTATCTTTAATCTAACGGAAATCCCTATTTGTATCAATAATATCTACCTAACTTTGATGCTTTATTCATATAGAACAAAGTCATTGCAGTTCAGCGTTTCATCTTGTCAAGAGAAAATGACTCCACCTCCACCATGGATTCCAGGAGTGCCACCACGTAGACCTCCGCACCATGGTCCACCACATCATGGTCCACCACACCATGGTCCACCACGGCATGGTCCACCACACCATGGTCCACCACATCATGGCGGATATCCAGGTATGATAATTAATAATTGGTCGGTACATTTGCGAAAAAAGCGAAATATCTCAACTTTCTGCTTTATTATTCCAGATTTTTTGGGATTTTCTCTCCTCGTTTCTATGAAGTAAAAATATCGATATTATTTCAATGTACGTGTAATAAGGACAAATCAGATGATTTGCCAGAAAATGTGACTGCGTATGCAAAGAATTTTCCTGTCAGAGAGATTTACCAGCTTGTCAGTGACAATTTGTATTGAAAAAAGTTTGGAGGAGAGAAATAAAGGTATATAGAAAAGATATCTAATTTTCACTTAGCTTTGGATGTTTCTGGAACAAATCTGCTGTCGTTTTCAACATAGAAAATGGATAGTTGTATAGCAAATTCGTATTCGTCTTGACACTTTTCAGTTTTCTGTGACAATTGGTTACGTTGGCAATCAAATGAGTTACAGGATGTTTTCATTAATTAATCTTGAATATGCCATTTTCATGTTCAGATTTCAGTAGTTATTACCATGTTCTATCTATATCAACTGAACAGGAAACAATGCTATTGTCTCCGTTCAGGAGAATTCATGCAGATTCCTTGATTTTCCTTTTATGGTTGTTATCTTATCATCATTATTTTTATTTCATAAAAAGAAGGAGGAAAAATCCCAAAAAATCTGGAATAATGAATGTACCACCTCCTCGATTAAACTACAGACAGTATTTTTCTAGCTTCGAATTATTTATTTATTAATTAAATGAAGTGAAATATACAGATCCCAATGAAATATAAGTAATATACATATTCCAAATTGTATCCCTTTCACATAAGGATGCATAATGTTAGTGACCTGCATGTGAGATAAATTATCACATGTATAAAAATTATTTATATAATATGGAAATACTCAAATTGAATATGAATAATCGAGATACATTTTTATATGTATAAAAATTATCTTCTTACTATGGAACACCTCAAATTGAATATAAATAATCGAGATACATGAATCAGTTCAACTTAGTAAACATATTCAAATTCCTTCAAATTGGGAATAGCATCCCAGGTAAAACATGATATTGGCTAGAGCTTGGTTTCATATAAGCCCCATATTCGGATATTCAATATGGAATCACTAGGTTATCTCTTTGTGAGAGCTATGTCCAATAATCTCTTCCTAGTCACTTTACAGTTTCCTCGATAATACTTTCATCTTATAAAAAATATACATTTTCATGTTCATAATAAATCTGAGAATATTCATTTTCAATACTTCCATACCCAATCAGGGGGTTCAAACTTGAACGATTGAAACTTGTTATTCTTCTAGACCTCTAATCGCAGATCCGTGATTGGGTTTTCTCTGTCCAGAATTTTATTTCACGCCCTGTATGATGAATGTCAATTTGTCAAGTAATTTTACAAAACAAAATCGCGAGAATGGTGACAGGATCTCCTTGGTATGTTCGGAATAACCAGATCGCCAGGGATCTGAAACTCCCATCAATCGTGTCAGTCATTAAAGAACGAAACATCAAGACTTTCGAAAAAGCTGAGGTTCATGAGAATCAGCTTCTTCGAAATGCAGTTGATTATGACCCAGGTGATCAATCAAAGTTCAAAAGACCGAGATTGTCCATAAACTAGGGAAAATATCGACATTATGGCCAAATTTACTATTCTCAAGTTTATGATATTTATTTATTCCGTTCGATCTCTTTCAATTCTCAGAATGTATTTCTGAAACTTATTTGGGACAGAAGGGCTGTTCGCATCAAACTTCAATACCGTTTTTATTTTGTTCCATAATAGATATCAGGATAAGAGTCCCTTTCCCTGGTCTGAATAAAATAAAAGAAAGATCCACAAAAAAAAAATTGAAAACTCTTGTTTTAACTTTAGTATTTCTTCAAACGTTATCAAATAATTTTGTTTTGTTTGAAGGTGGACCTCCATTCCAACCAGGGCCACCCCCTTATGGACCTCGCCCACATCATAGATAGTATCTATGAAGACAAAATATAGATTTTTCCTGTTCAACCATAATACCTCATTATCAAAGCGATACTGATTATCTAACTCAGTAGTAATTGATGTCAAAATGTAATAATTTGGAATTTGTTATAATTGTAATTCCTAGGTACCGAATTATATGCTTACTGGTTGTAACTACAAACTAGGTAACTATTCTGGAAGTATCTATGAACGTATTGTAAGAGCAGTGATGAGATTCTAGTCAATACGTGGATTGTAAGAGGTCACAACACACCAAAACCCTCATTTAAGTGTTCACTTTTTCGAATCTGAATTGTCAAACCACTATGCACTTTAGTCGTATGCAACCAGTGCGGATGGTGTATGGATCCAACAGATCAAAACTGTTTAAAAACGAAACAGACCAGTTAGAAAGCTGTCCAGGAGCTGATGTTCAAAACTGCTCATACTTACCTAAATACTTAACTCTACCAGTTCTGAAACTTTTGGGAGCTGTTTGGGGCTTTTCTCAGGTCTGAACAGTTCTTGTCAATGTTTGAGCATCAGCATTGGAGAAAGTTTCAATCGGTGATAAAACATCATTAGAACAGATCTGAATCAGATTTAAACAGCTTCCCAACTGTTTGCATGAGCTGAAGTGCAATGCTAAAAATGTGAAAGGGAGACAAAAAAAAAGAATGCCTTTCCGTGGAAAGAATCTGGAACATATTCATCAAGGTTGACAATAATGCTCCTAGATGTAGCCTCAAAGGTGGAGACTAATAAGATGTGTTCTGTGTTGTGGATGCAAATTTCTGATCAGCCGAATACGCCTACAGTAAAAAGTAGGCTTAGTGGTCATCATTATTCAAAATCTACATACCTAAAGTTAATCTGAAAAAGAAAATTGGGTTTCAAACTGATGACTCTGACGGATGATGAGTAACTTATTCTACTGGAACCGAAAACATGTTTTCTACCTTCGATAGGTCATTTGACACTTTTCAAAACTGACAACTGACGGAAGTTTTGAATCGTCTCACTTTATGTAACCAGTTGCGTGTATCTACCACTGTCTGGAGTCAATGAAGGTCATTTTGTACATAAGTTGTGGATACCTATTTATTGATCAATTCCGTTCATTCATTTAAAGACAATTGAAACCATAGCATCTGAACTCGAATATCTCGAGAACGCCTTGTTGGAATTCATGAAACTTTGCACTGCTAGTGTCAGAATTAAATGACCTCAGCAATTATGTACAACACGACTCTTACTCCCAATCCAAATTATTGAGGGGGTTGCTCTGGGAAATAGTGGGATGAAGTATGATTATTTATTTTGCGTCAAACGGTGTTCATCATTTTTCTGAGAGATATCGAGGGTGAATAGTCCTAAATGGACCATCCAGTATATAGTTGTTTATTCTTAAACTCTTTATACAGTTTGTACTTTGTTGCCATCAACACTGCTTCGACAAGATTCTCTTCTTTCGCCAAATGATGCAAAACATATCCTGGCAGCCACCATACCTATCACACCTCCAATTATCCAACCACAAATAACATCGCTCCCATGATGTTTGTAAGTTCCCACTCTAGTGACCCCCACGAAAAGGGAGAAAAGAAGAGCTACGGATTGCAGAAAATGTTTCAACAATTTCGAGCCGCTCCAACTCACACGTTTCTGTAAATACAAGGCAAGAAATATCATCATATACATGGAAATTGTGGAATGGCCAGAAGGAAATGAGAACCTCCACGATTTCCTGTATTGGTAATTCAAATCGGTACAGGTGTACTCTTCATGGTATTGGAAAGGAGGGAACTGTCCCTTGCAAACATCTGGCTTGCAGAGAGTTAGAAATGTTGGTCGCAGTATCCCTGATAACTTCAACACATTCACTGTCAGTCTGGTGAAAACAGCTCCGTATGCATAAACCCCGATGACACAGTACAAGTTGTATATCCAATTGGGTATCCTCAAGCACAAAAGGCTATAGTCCTGTTTGCCTCTTGGTCTGGCCAGAAACTCTGTTATTGTTATTATCCCGCAGACTCCACCTATTCCTGCCAAATAATATACCGCCCAGCCTGGAATGGTGCTTGATTCTACCAGGGGAAACTGTAAGCTAGTATCTTCGCAGAAGAACCCACGTTTGAAAGGCTCACTCCATTCATTGAGGAAATATATCGGCCATCCTATACAGTTGAGTAAGAGAATATCGAGAATGAGTTTTCCTGGTTTTAGTTTCAGCTTTTCGTTCTGCATACTTTAATTCACAGTGTTAATTATAAATGACAATTGCAAGTATATTCGAAGGTCATTGTATAATGTAAGTTGAGTTTGGTCTATTTAACAAATGATAATGAGATTAGATAAAGGTGAGCATGACCAATCCTTGTACAATGTGTTAGCTGAACCTTGAAAAGAGGAATTTATTTTGATTATTAATTTGAGAGAATTTTTCGAATAAGACTCCTAATTTATATCGATATACTGGGTGCTAATTAATTGAGTTTCGATAATACAAGGTGTGAATCCTCGGGTGATTTTAAGGAGAAAGATTTCATATTAACATATGTCTTGAACTTCTTGGGTTTTGAGCTACAGGGTGTTGAAATCATAGACGTGCAGTTTTTTTTAAATCAACACATCCAATATCAGGACAACGTGAACAACACTGGTGAAAGTGAAAACATGATTTTCGTCCCAAAACAAAATGTCTTTCTTCTCATGTGGTTGACTACTGAATTTTAACGATATACCAAAAACAATCTCAGAACAAAAACACTTTTGGATTTTATTTTTTCACGCGAGAACGGTACGTCGTATATGAAACAAAGATTAGGGACCAAATTTCCTCCAATATGAATGGGAATTTCAAAAAGTATTTTGGTGTTCACATTTCCTGCTCAAAAAATTTTCAGTTCAATCAAACCACTCACGGACGCCACTGGTGGAAATTTCAAAAAATCTCTTGCATCAAAAAATGCCCCTCAATGATGGAAAGGTGTGTACAGAATTTCATAAAAATATTTAGAAGTGATGAAAAATATGATGAAAAACTCACCTTATTCTCGAAGGTTCAACACCCTTTAGTAACTAATTCCTATACTATACTAGTAAGTGACTAAACTAAGAGGTTTAGGACATATGTTGATATGAACTTGAACTATTCTCCTCAAAATCACCCAAGGATTCACACCTTGTATTATCGTGACTCGATTAATTAACACCCTGTAGAAATAGCTTATAAGAAAAAATGAAACAACTTTTATAACATGATATTATACCCATAACAACATTAGTTTCTGAAACTAACGACAATAATTAGGTACAAACCTATTAGTTATTGTAAGATACGTAACAAAATGAAGAATAGAAATTAATTCAAGATGATCGTGGCGACACTGCAAAATTTCATAGCAGACGATTACTGATCTTTTTGGAAAATTCCATTTATCCCTTTTTTTGTTCTTTATGTTTTTTTTGCTTTTCTGTGCTCGGTCATGGTGTTTCAGTAGTTCATTTATGAAATCTAGAGCATACTATTTCGTGAATGAATATGGTTTGGTATTATCTGAAGAAAAGTTAGTTCCAAATGTCCTAACCTGACATTTCACATATACCTACATATAGGAATTTGGTAAAGTGGCGTTCTGGTTTGAAAGCTCGCTCTTGTTGTAGATAGGCTTGTTTGGAATAGGTCGCGTGCACGATGACCGACCCTGATGGAGGTAAAACATTGAAACGCAACATCACTTTTCCGTAAAACTTTGAAACACAACCTCACTTTTTCTATTTGTTTACAGAGGAATCAAAGTATGTAAATAGTTTTTCACAATATTTTGGCATACGATTCGTGTTTTTCCTTTTCATTGTGCTGTTGTACGATGCACAAAAAATGCAGCGAGGTGAATAGTAATCTCACATAGTTTTCATTATGGAATTTTGTCATTTCTTATGAAAATTCTTTCTGCCACTTCTGCAATAGAAGCTGATACTGCTAATAGATTGAAAATGTCTACAACACACACGATCATATTTCGTCAGCATGTCAGACCAGTCCTCCCGTTTGATTGCATAATTACAATCTTCTTGCATTCTTTCAGAAATTTCACGAGTATTTCTATTAGCTCCTATTGCAGAAGGAATTTCGATGAGAAATCAGAGAAATTACCAAATTTCAAAATGAAAACTATATGTATGTGACTATAGTAGGTACAGTCATCTTAAGAAAACGTCGCACATGGACGATGATAACATTCTTGATGACTCCTGCAATAAGAGCGCTGACACTGTCCAACCGCGACATGATCTCTGAATACGGCTGTACTTATACTATTGAATCATAATGTTTCAACCGGATTCCTTCGTCTCTCGGCTGCATTTCCTGTGTATTGTACAGCAGCACAATGCCAAAATAATTGTGAGGTTGTGTTTCAATGTTTCACTTCCAGGGTCGGTCATCTGACAGTTCTTGCACACAGCCATTATTGAGAACTAATTTATTATTCAATCCCGATTCTCTGTTTATCTCTTGGAGGAAGGATCAGGACCTGGTATTTATGGGGCCAAGCCAAAGACAAGAATCTCACTGAGCTTAAAAATATGCGACGGTGTTTCAGGCAGAAATTATTGCAATACATCATTGCGTGAGAGAATTGATAAGGCAAGAGTTCAAAGGCAAAACCATTGCAATCTAATCAGATAGCCAGGCGGCCATCAAAGCAGTCGACTCTATGCGAGTTTACTCAAAACTAGTATGGGACTGCATAGAAACCCTAAATGAAGTGGGCAGTCAGAACAGACTGACAGACTCTAGCATGGGTACCAGTACGAGGGCAATGAAGAGGCAGACTCACTTGCCCGAGCAGGAGCATACAAAGCTCTGAATGGCCCAGAACCCTTTTGTGGTATTGCGAAAGCTTTACAAAATACTAGTATGAGATCATGGATGCAAACCAAATCTCAAGAATGGTGGAACAACTCGCCAGGAATGAGACAGGCAAAAGAGTTTATTAAAAAACTATCGCCAACATTCACAGAATATCTACTGAGTCAGAAACGAAGTTCAACTAGAATACTAGTGGGACTTCTCACAGGGCATTGTAGGCTCAACAAACACATAAGTACGATAGGTCTGACTGAAGAACTGCTGTGCAGGTTCTGTCAGGAAGAAAAGGAAACAGCAGTACACATAATTTGCCACTGTGAGGGCTTGTCAAGACTATAAGGTTCCTTACGCTGGGTGAGGAAAAACCAGAAGCCCAAAGATACACAGGGGATCTGAAAGCTAGCCTATGGAGTTTCATAGAGAAGGCGGGGCTAGCCGAAGAACTCTAATCGATTTTGAGGGCAGATCTGAAAAGGTCGCGGTGTGGAGGCAGATAGCCCAAAGGCCCCATTTTAAAGCTAAATCTGAATCTAAATCTATCTCTTGGAGCGCACGAAAGGAGAATTCTATAATGTTCGTGGAACATCGAGCGTTCCTAGGGAGGACAGGGGGAGGGTAGGTGTTGGAATTTTATTTGAACATAATATCCATTTAATATATCAATTCTCTGACAATGGTTACGCAGAGTTATCCCCACAATTCGCGATTGCATTCATTTGATCATGTTTGGCGGTTTTTTTCGTGATTTACAGATGAATCCATTGTTAGTTAGTCTGAGAACTGAATAATGTGAAAATAGAAGTACTTGATATATTGAAGACTGGAACCTTTGGCACGATAATACATTACACTGTTTTTACACTAACCAAACCGATTTTTTTAACACCTCGACACGTGTTTCGCTAACTATGTTAGCATCTTCAGGAGAAGATTAAAACTGAGTATTTGAAGTACTTGAGACAAAATAGTTAGTTTTGTATCTAGGGCGCGAAATGCTACTTCCGTGAACAAAGTGTTTCTTCTACAAACGTGAAAAAACCATGATAACGGTTTGACGTTTTTAAGATGAAAAATTTGATTTTTTATTTTTAGACATCAACCTGTTAACAACAGAATATAAAACAAAAATGATGCTGGACTCATAGAATCATACTATCGATGAATGACTTCTTCAACAGTTTTAAAGTAGTAATATGTTTAGCTTGTTGAACAGTCATAAAGTTTGAATACAAAAAACTCTTATAGTTTATACGTGCAATGCGCAAAGTACATACTTGTCATTTTTTTACGTTTGTAGAAAAAAATTAATAATTCTGATCTTCTTCAAATTGATATTTCTTGGAACAATTTGCTAAATATCGAAAAAAAAAGGTGACATACATCTCATAATCATTTTTTCAGATGTTCGACTCTTTATTCAATATTAATTGGAGCAACTCATTTTTCTGTATTTTTCCAGTTGCAGTAGTGGGAAACACTTCAACTATATGAATCGTGGTTGGGATTTTGAAACTGGCGATTTCTCCTTTGCAAAACCCTTTCAGTTCTTGCACTGTGAAGTTCCGGCCATCTTTGGTTCTGAGACATGCACAAACTTCTTCTCCCAATCGTTCGTTCGGCAGGCCGATTACCTAAAAAAAAAGAGATTAGAATTATGATACTGTAGTCAAATTATTATTTTGATAGCGGATGAAATGGCACCATATGTTTTTCCATATTTTTTCTCTTCGATATTTCTGTCTCTGAATACATTGATATACGATCAGTTGATATTTGGACAAAATAAGTTGTAATAACAAAAACATGTTCATTCAGAAAAAAAAAACATCATCAGGTGCGTTTTGTTGTGCCATTCCGGAAGTGATAGAATGAGTGGGCCCAAGAAAACGAACATTTGGAACTGTAGAAGCATTTGATATCATTTTCAACCTCAAAATCTGATCATATTATATATATTTGTCCTCGTATTTGTCTCTAGTATGTAACAATTTTACCATTGCCATCATTCTGCTTTTACTCCCATGAATCAAAAATTGATATAGACTAATTTAATATCCATGAATCTCAAGCAACGTTTGAGAATGATGATTGAATTTTTTGAAGACATCAATGCCTTAGATAGAGGAATTCTCGTTTCTCTGTGGTTCTCTTCAATTCACATTCATTATTTTATCTACAAACGTCAAAAAATGACAAGGTTCGCGTATTGATAACAAACTGCGAAGTGACACTTTTTTTCAGTTTCCTACGTTACCATGATACCTTGCACATAACAATGCGCGAAGTAAAACAGTGCGCGAAGTACCTACTTCGCGCATTGTAATGTAAAATTAATGATATATTTATATTTCAACTATATGGTCCTCAATCGAGCAAACATCCATGAAATCATTTATTTCTGAATGTTCAACAATAACTTTGTTTTATCTCTTGAGCGCACGAAAGGAAATTCGTATTATGTTCGTGGAACATCGTGCGTACCCAGGGAGGATAGGGTGAGGCCCTTAAAGCCAGTTCAACACTATTTTTTATATCTAGCTAAACATATTTTCACTTTAGAACTATATTTTTGACGTTAGTAGAAAAAATTTTGTTTGCAACTCGAGCGCGAAATACTTTGGTCATCTCGACTATTTTTTTAACTCGGCTACGCCTCGTTAAAAAAATCAGATCTCGATCACCAAAGTAGCATTTCGCGCTCTAGATACAAAAATAACTAATTAAAGCTTGTATGCGAGAAATGCTAACAATTTTATCTTTTAACTATCAATTCTCGTCACAATAATAATCACAAGTCACTTTCATTTGTCATTCCAATTTTCAACCCTTCTCATGAGAAGGAATGCGAATGGGAATGGAAATGGGTTTGAATGCACAACAAAACGTGTACAATGCCGAGAACCAGATTGAGCTATGGCACAACAAAACGCACCTATATCTTCATGAAATTTTGAGATGATTGGATGTTGCAGTGAATGTCACTGAAATGAACGTCAGTGTTCCATTTGTCAGATGTTTCTGAATTCGACTTTATAGTCCAAGAGCCGGCTGCAAATTTCGACAGTCATCTGATAACGAAATGATATACAGAGAAGTGCACAATAAACGACCAGGATTGTAACTTTCGAATTATTCTAGATAGGGTTGTGAAAATTATAAGAAAAAACAATGAAAGTCTCAAAGTCTGTCGACCACGAAAAAATCTTTAGTAATAGTACTGCAACTAGTTTCGGCCACAGGCCATCATCAGACACAAAATTGATGTATTAAAATACCTAAAAGATATGAAGAACATGGTTAAGGAGTCAAAAGAGAGTCAAAAAGTTGGTATACTAACCTCAGTGATACATATCAGAAGCAAAAATTTTTAAAATTATGAGAAGCCAAGATCGAAAAAACAAATTATCAGTCCTGAATGTGAATAGTTTTAGTTTTGAATCTGGAAAAGGTCCAGTAGAACCAGATCAACATAATATTGATGAAGAGATACATCTAAATCGAAAAGTTTCAAAAAATTTTCTCACGTGAGATTCATCAGATTATGCAAAATGAAAATGGAAGCTAAGACAGAATTCTAAGAATCAGAAACATCAACGTGAAACATGACAAAGAACAAGTGACACAAGTCAAAAGTCAAATATGACAAAACTAATCAACATTGACAAACCAAATAAATTTTGAAACAATGGGAACAAGAGATTGGGAGGAGAACAACAATAGACCAATATGGGTTGTAATATGTTTTGATGATAATCATTGGAATTTTAGAGTACGAAAAATCAAGCTACGTTCAAAATTGGTTTGATCATTAAGACAAGTGGAATTAGGATCATTTATACATTTTTGAATTTCTAGAATTTCCAATAGGTTCAACCTAGAGCCTATTACAAATGTGGAGGAAATCCATATATTCAGATAAATTGAAATTATGATTGAATTCAATTATATGGTTTGAGAAAGAGGAACTAGTGTTAAAATTATTACTGCTCCTATTCCTAGTTATCAATCTATTTTGTGTCTGATGATGGCCTGTGGCCGAAACTAGTTACACTACTATTATTAAAGATTTTTTCGTGGTCGACAGACTTTGAGACTTTCATTGTTTTTTCTTATAAAAATCAATTGGACCACTTTGAGAAATATGGATGATTTCCATGTTTCGAAAATTGGTGGGTAGCAAGTATATCACATTGCTCATCGATTGATGAAACAATTTTTGTTTTATCACTTCGAGTTTCACCGAAAACGATCCTAACTTTTAATTTTCAAATACGGCACCCTGTATTGTATTCCATAATCGGTTAGAGATTATCATGACGAATTCAACGATACCGGGTTTGATGGAGTTATTTCAAACAATTACAAAGATATTTGCGAAGTTCCCATTATGCTCAATGGGTGTGACTTCGCAATATCAAATGGAAACTTAGAACGCGAATATCTTCGTAATCGTTTGAAATAACCCTATCAAACCTGGTATCGCTGAATTCAATTTAAAAATCGTTGGGGTCGTTTCCAGTAAAACTGGAAGTGATGGAACAAAAATTGTGTCGTCAATAATTGATGAGCAATTAGGTATACTAGCTGCACGCCAATTTTCAAAACCCTACTTCGAAAAATTCAAAAGTTACAGTCCTGTCGTTTTTTGTGCACTTCTCTGTATGTTACAAAGGCATGTTGAAACATTGTATTTTGTCGAACGACAACTGTGTCAATCACTATTATGAGCAAAATGTTAATTTCACCGGTTATATCAACTCCTTGGATTTTGATACGGGGTGAATCGAAAAATCAAAAATATAAAAATTTCCCATTGAATAACTAACACCTTATATGAGATTTTTCATTTAAATTCCGTATGGGAGTATTTCAGCTATGCCTCAATCGGATAGGCTAGTCACTGTTTCGGAAAAAATTGTCTAAGTCGTTTTTGAAATTTTGACCCATTCAACAAACAAAGGGAGGCTTTGAAAATCCAAATATTTCAGATTAGTCCACATTTTTGAATAGAGCACGTAGAGTACTGAATTTCGGAATTTTTGTTTCTGAAAATTGGTCGCACTCACTGTATATATGCTATTGATAATGAGATGATTTTTTTTTTCACATCAAATGGGTTTCGACAATTATTCGACCATTCCTCATAACCCGAGTGAAGATATTTGAAGTTTGATTGTCGATATGACTTAATATCAAGTTATCACAGCCACCCATATAAAAAAAAGAACTAAGAACACGACAATTTTTTTTTCACGACAAACTCTCGACAATAATTATTCGACAATTATTGTAATAGTTATCAGCGATTTTCTAGCAACTATAAATTTTGTGATGTGACGTGATGTGATCTGCGACTCGACAAATTGGAAAATATCATCGCTGTCAAAACTCACCTGTGCTTCAAGGATATCAGGATGTGTATTCAAGAAATCCTCGATCTCCTTCGGATAAATATTTTCGCCACCACGTATTATCATTTCTTGATACCTGCCCAGAATGCGTCCGTATCTATCTTCTCTCAGCATAAACTGGTCACTGAAAATACGAGGAAATTTTGAAGAGATGCGTTATGTTTTTTCCTCCGAAATATCTACCCAGTACGCAGCCAACCATCGCTTCCTATCGTCTTCTTCGTTTTTTCTTCGTCTTTATAGTAACCTAACATGGTCGTATATCCTCGTATACATAATTCACCAGGAACTCCGATTGGCACGATGTGTCCTTCTCTATCAATAACTTTGGCTTCTAGATGTTCTTGTAGATAACCTACAGTGTTTGTGGATTTTTCTTTGTCGTCATCTTCTAATGATTGAAAGGATGATGCAGTAGTTTCAGACATTCCAAACACAGACTGTGAAACAATGATAATTATTATATTATATTTCAATGGTGACTTCTGAATGTTCAAATATACAGGGCATTTCAAGAAAAACTTGACTCCCTCCCTATAGAAAATCGAATCTTCTAACAAGAATTGCGAGGACCGGTCGATTTGTATTCTTGGGAAAGCATTTTTGATAGTCAAACCAACTTGATGTGTTAATCTTCCTAACCTCTAGCAACTTCAACTTTGGAATCTCGAATGGTGGTACCCTATTCCCAACAAATACTGTGGTGCAAACTTGACAATAATTGACAATATAAATAATAATAATAATGCAGCCCAATGCTCCGGGGGATATTGAGTCCGTTGTGGAGAATGAGAGGTGCCGAATTCATTGGAAATTCTCATTTCCCATCCTCAAGCCAATACAAGCTAACAAGCCTGATGTAGTCCTCGACCATCAAACCAAAGCGATGTTCGTGATCGAGTTTTCGGCGCCAGCCGACCCAAACATCGTTTTGACGGAGGAGGAGAAACGGACTAAATATCGAGATTTTCTCTTCGAACTCCGCAGGCTCTGTCCAGACCATTCTGTGGGATTGGTCATCCTGATAATCGGCCCCCTAGGAGGCACACGACATACGCTGCTCTCGGAAATCCAGAAAATCCCAGCGTGCAGTGATAAAGCACACATCCTGGCTGGTGGAATGCAGAAGGCCGTCATTCTTGGATCATTGTGTTCACTCAGGGCACTCGGTTCTTGATCCCAGTGATCATTCACCCCACAGGTTGTGGGGAGTAGTCACTGGATTTTATCCAGCACGACTCTTCGTGGCGTCGGAGGCCGCAGAGTCGTGACTTTGACCTACTGTGCTTTGACTAATATGAATTTAAATAATAATAATAATAATAATAAATTCAAGGGCGTATACATAACATATTCATTGTTTACAACAATGAATTCAAGCAAAAGTTGAGAGATAACAGAAAAGAATCACAGAAAGATACACATTAATGATAATGTGCATTTCAAATAATGATATACATAACAAGTTAGTTATATATGTTATTCGGTTAGGATCAATGAACGTAGCTCAAGAATATTTCAAATATAAGGAGCAATAGTTCAAGCTTCAGTTAGTGATATTTTAAAGTGCAACAATTAATGAATCAGCACTCTGATGAAGGCAGGAAATTTTCTGATTCATAACAGTAAATATTGGGTAATCAGAGAGCATGTGTATGAGTGAATTGGTAATTTCAAAAGTAGATACGTACTTGTATTATCCGAAATGCCAAATAGATTATATATATAGTCCAATAAATAAAGGGAAAAAGTTAACATTAATTACGCACTATTTTCATCTTCCGGTTGGAAGTAGCTTTTGGTACCTCATTAAACTTGAGACAAAGTTTGGCTGGAAAACGCGTGCGATGGCGGAGAAAATGGCCCCAAAAGCAGAAAAATAGGTTTTCAGCCAATATCTCCTAAAATATGGCAGTTAGAGATTTTCGGTTCAGATAAAAATTGAAGTTCTGTTGATTTTTTACAAAAATGGTCCATATCATTTTTCTCGAAAATCCGCCCGGTTTCGATAAAAACGGCACGAAGCGCACCTCGAATAATGAGCTTCTGTTGTATGCCGGAGAGCACAGTCCGTATATTTACACATCGGCGGGGGGACAAATTATTCAATAACTTTGTTGAAAATGCATATTTTCTCATGATTCAGAGTTCATGTGAAAGAGGAATTCTGCTGCTATCATACCCTGTGAATTGAGTCACGCTTGACTCTTTTGGCCATATCGGAACATGGGTCAAACTTTTTGCTCCCGGTCAATTTTGACCTCGCCAGGAATTTGTTCCTATTTTTTTGTATTGCACTAATTTACTCAAAATTCTCTTGATTATAGGTCCTTATAAGGTCCTTTGTCATCCCTGAAATTTGTATACCCTAATTTTTTTAATTTTCATTTAATCTATGTTCATTGAATCCCAATTTTTTGCTGTTTGAGCGCGGGGAAATTTTGTGAACAACCAACGCCGCGTGTGTGCTCTACGTGGCGCTCGGGTCGTCTGCTACAAACCATGCGACCACGCAAGGTATGATAGCAGCAGAATTCCTTTTTCACATGAACTTTGAATCATGAGAAAATATGCATTTTTAACAAAGTTATTGAATAATTTGTCCCCCCGCCGATGTGTAAATACACGGACTGTGCTCTCCGGCATACAACAAGCTCATTATTCGAGGTGCGCTTCGTGCCGTTTTTCTCGAAACCGGGCAAATTTTCGAGAAAAATGATGAGAATCATTTTTGTAGTAAATTAACTGAACTTCAATTTTTATTTGAACCGAAAATCTCTAACTGCCATATCTTAGGAGATATTGGCTGAAAACCTAGTTTCCTGGTCTTTTGGGGCCATTTTCTCCGCCATCGCACGCGTTTTCCAGTCAAACTTTGTCTCATGTTCAATGAGTTACCAAAAGCTACTTCCGACCGGAAGATGAAAACAGTGCGTAATTAACATAAACTTTGCCTTTTTTTCCTCCTTCATTTATTGGACTAATACGAAGAAATTGACAAACCATTATTGACGTTATTATTTCGAACCAAAATTGACCATCAATTGAAAGCTATATTCATCTGCTAGGTATCCACCATCTCTCATTTTCTGTTGTGTCGATTGATTCACCACGAAGAAAAAAAGAGTTTGAAACTAAAAAAACTGGAAAAAACGGGAGTTCAATTCAATATTCATCGTTCAAAATGACCTGCGTGATTTTGGAAATGATAATATAATCCTTTTCAAGTTCTTACTTAAGACATTTGATGGAATTCTCCCGTAAATCCCTGACGCAGCAGCAGCATATTGCAGGAAAATGACACTTCCCAAACTAAATTGCGTGCGGGTATAGGGTGAATCACGCACGCTTGTAGAAAAAGTTTTTTCTCCAAACGGCATAACATGTGTCGGTTTGTCAATTATTGTAAAGTAGTCATTTTATCCAATACCACTGTCAAATCTTCACCGATTCTCAAAAATACATCGAAGTAGGTATTCAAAATGAAAATGGCTTCACAATGATGTGTTGGAAGTAGGATCATTCCATTTGAAATTTCAAAACCGAAGTCGCTATAGGGGTTTGAGGGATAAGGAAGATGGTTTGACTGTTAATTCTAATAGAGGATTTGGTTTTCTAATTATAGGAGGGGCAAGAACTGTCATCGAATGTATACTGATCTTTTGATCTGCGATAAGTTTGGGATTCTCACCTTCACTTTCTTCACTTTTAATACTTGTAGCATATCTTCGAATAACTGTGGTGAACAAGATGCTCCTCCTGTTAAAGCAATTTCAACATTTAGAGCTTCTTTTCTCCTCTTCTGGATATTTATTAGATCGACGTACATCGTAGGCGTACCATAGATTATTGTGCAGCTATAAATGATCAATGATATTTCATTCTAGTATCAATGCAAATTTTTTTGAGGAAATACAAAAAGCTACAACGTCAAAGTGAAAATCGGATTCATTTTAATGGATATTCTATTTATTCTAAATCTTCATTGTGATTCAAGGTATCAGGCCATTAGGAAAGTTATGTTTCGTATTCGTAGATCAATGCTTGATTGAGTTTTCATTGGGCCAGGTATCACTCTAGCAGAAGAGGGGGCCCGATAGACCGGAAAATATTTGCGATTCTTATGCCAAACTGATTTTAAAAAACTATCGGTTGCATCCAAGATCTGTCAGATGACCGACACTGGAGGCAGAACATTGAAATATAACCTCACTTTTCTCATTTGATAACAAAGAATTGGAATAGTTTCACCGGCTATTCAATTATTCAAGCATGCCATCACATATAGTGCTGTTGTACAATGCCCAAAAATGCAGCGAGAGGCGCAGGAATCCGATTTTTTGTAGGTGAGGTAGATACATTGTGTTCTAAAAGTACTGTAGTCACTCACAAATAGGTTTTATTTTGAAATGCTGTCATTTCTCATTGGAATTTCTTCTGCAATAGGAGCTAACAGAAATACCCGTGAAGTTTCTGAAAGAAGGCGAGAAGATTGAATTCGTGCAATCAACCGGGAGGACTGGTCTGACCTGCTGACGAAATATGATCGTGTGTGTTGTACACATTTTCACTCAATTACCAGTATAAGCTTCTATTGCAGAAGGAATAATGAGAAATGACAACATTCCATAATGAAAACTATGTGAGATGACTATTTAGCTGGAAAATCATATTCCTTCGTATCTCGCTGCATTTTTTGTGCATTGTACAACAGCACAATGTGATGGCATGCTTGAATTAGGTAATGAATAGCCCAAAAACACGATTTATATTCCCAAATATTGTGAAAAACTATTTCAATACTTCGGTTCCTTTGTAAACAAATAAGAAAAGTGAGGTTGTGTTTCAATTGGCCTGTTCGTTTCTATTGCTAAACTGGCTAAAGTTGATATTTTTTCTATATTTGTCTCTGTTCATGCCATGATGAAAACAAAGAAAGCCATAGAAAAAAATCAAGTTCAGCAGGTTGAGCAAGCACAAACGAACAGGCCTAATGTTTTACAGAAAAGTAAGCAGGTTGTATTTCGATGTTTTACCTCCAGGGTCGGTCATCGTGCACGGGACCTATTTTAATCCTTTGTAAACAAATAAGGAAAGTGAGGTTATATTTCAATGTTTTACCTCCAGGGTCGTTCATCTGACAGATCTTGCATTGGCAACCCATATACTTTTTTCTACTACTATCTTGTTATATAATGAGGTTATTAAGTAATGTTGGAATAGTGGGTAATCCCGATTATAGCCTCTTCAAACTATATAGCGACTAGTTTGTTGAATGATAACGAACTTTTATTGATATATCGATATTGTATAAATGTCCTAGCTAATCTGTCATGAACTTATATTCACGGTAGTCAGGGTCATCATCTGACTTTGCGATCACATAAAAACTACGAGGAAACATTCCTATCTCCTATCTTAGATTGGAAGTTAGACATGTTTTCCCGTAGTTTTCAATATCATCGAACGTCATCTGATGACCTTCCGCTTTTTCATTAATCTGTGATTTCACAATCATTAACGCTTTCATTAATGAATTAAAACTTGGTATTTTTGTTCATCCATTTATGCACCTAAATTGAATTTCTTTTATAAACTATTAGCTGAAAGATGACCAACTTTTATCTCTCAACGACAAATACAAATGAAACTGTGACTTGCGCAGGCGCGATTCTGTCAGAAGTCAGACAAACAATTTCTTCCTGTCTTTTTCCAAAATGTGGTTGAAAATTCTGAAAATTCTTGTCGTTTGTTCAAATTAGACTTTGAAAACAATATTTAGGAATGACTCTTATTGTAATTATGTGATCACTGAATTATAACATAAATATTTTCATCGGGCTATGTACGCTGAGGATTATGTTTTGACCAAGAAGAAGAGTTCAAAATTAAAAAGGGTGGTGCATAGAGGTATCATAGCCCTTAAATAAAAATAGTTATTTTTGTATCTAGAGCGCGAAATGCTACTTTGGTGATCGAGATCTGATTTTTTTAACGAGGCGTAGCCGAGTTAAAAAAATAGTCGAGATGACCACAGCATTTCGCGCTCGAGTTGCAAACAAAATTTTTTCTACAAACCTCAAAAAATATAGTTCTAAAGTAAAAATATGCTTGGCTTGATATAAAAAATAAACTTAATTACATTAAATGAGAGCAACAGTTTGATGAAAAAGCGGTGTGCATAAATACACCTTTAGATTCAAGAAAATATACACATAATATGAAAAGTTCGAATACCTATTTTTTTCGCGTTGAAAATTATAATTGCAATAAGATAATTTTTTCTCAACTGCAATACTTTTCATTTCAAACATCGTGAGTTTCTTTCTTGTAGGAATGAAGTAACTTGCGCCTATTTTACTAAACTTTTGGTATTCACTACAGACTATTTTTTTCAGTGTACTTCGATTATATGCGATAAAACAGTTTCAATTATCTTAATTTGTGATGTGAGAGACGGAAATATCACTGGTCAAGCAATTTTTCATGGATATGTCTCAAATGTTAGAACCTACGCAACGACATATTTATTGTAGGGAAGCCCAAGCAGTGTTGCCAACTCAGATTTCCAGAAGTCGCAAATTGGCCTCCGCTGGCAATTTCTTTTGAAAATCTAGTGATTTTCTGGTGGTTTTAACATCAGTTCAGATTACTAGATAACACCAGATGAAAAAATCAGATCATATGAAAAGTTTTTTTTTTCAACAGAAAACAAAACGAACAAAATAAATTATTCATTACATCAATGACATACTTATGTATATTATGTTCCATATAAAACAAGAAATAAAAAACAACATTCGAGATTCTACAAAAACAGGCAAAATTGGACATATGGGGTTCAGCACCAAAACATACGCTGATGCTCTTAGATTCCATCCAGAGAAGAGCCATTCGCCTGGTGGGTGATACCACACTCACTCACTCTTTGACATCATTGGAACACCGTAGAAAGGTCGGCGACCTTTCACTTTTCTATCGATACTTCCACGGGAAATGTTCTTCGGAAATCTCTGCTATCATCCCTTCACTAGCAATACCAATCAGACGAACTAGACAAGCCCAGTCAGCACATCCTTTCGTTGTCGAACAGCACTTTATCAAGACTCCTTCATCCATAGAACGGCTAGGCTCTGGAATTCATTGCCTGTGGAAGTATTCCCAACAACATATAATCTCCAAAAATTCAAGAAAAATTCCAATACCTACCTCCTGTCCCTATCCTCCCTAGGAACGCACGATGTTCTTTGAACATTATAGGGATTCCCTTTCGTGCGCTCCAATCTATAAAAAAAAAAAAAAAAAAAAAATACAAACTAGTTTTTTCTATAAAAACTTTTCTTTATTATTACATTGTTGAAATTAAAATATTATATAAAACAAGGGGCATTTCGAATGCGTCCTCAACCACCAGATTCCACAATTCAATTGAAAAAATTCACCAAAATGAACACCATCCAATAGATGCCATATTTTGTCACAAAACTAGAACTAAAACCACCAGTTCTAGTGTGAAATCCACTAAGTTGGCACCACTGAGTCCAAGCAGGGATTTGGGGATTTACTCGAGCGCGGCAGATTAAAATAAAGGGGGTATCCTTGGACCTTGTGACTTGTGAAGTACTCCCACCATACCTATGCCCTTGATATGGTGTCGAAAGTTCAGGGCAGCCGATCAGATTAGTAAAAATGGGGTATCCTTGGACCTTGTGACTTGTGAAGTACTCCCACCATACCTATGCCCTTGATATGGTGTCGAAAGTTCAGGGCAGCCGATCAGATTAGTAAAAATAACCAAATAGTCAGAAATACTCGAGCGCATCAGATTAAGACATGGTACGTTAAATACATACAGAAAAGTGTGCATTACAATAATCTGACCATTGGATCGTGACATAAGGAAATGGGAGAGCCATAAAGTTGCGAAAAAAATCGTCACCTGATGCACATTCTCAAATGTCAAAATATTTTAGTTTGTTGATTTCTAATGATTCAAAATGATTGAGTTTCAGCCCTTTATTTTCTACGTGTCAAATTTCGAAATTATCATCAAAACTATGGTTTTCTTCTAATATATGGTTGGTGTATGTTGAATTTGTTTATTTTTTCATGAAATTCATCTTATGTTCATGAATGCGCTGATTAAGCGTACGACCTGTCTGGCCGATATAAACCTTAGGGAAAGATCCACAGTTGAGTTTGAATTCCCCTGATTTTAGAACAAATATGAGATGACTCAGCGAAAAATGAGCCTCATCCGATACCTCCATTACTTCAATAAATCTACTGATTCATAAGACTTACTCTTCTTCTCTAAGAGCATCCAGAGACTTCTCTGGGTCAAAGCCATCTGAAGGCAGCACCAAAGTACTTCCATGGTTCAAACTAGCTGATAAGGCAATTATTGTTCCATAGGCATGAAAAAGTGGATTTTGTAGACATATCGTGTGGTGCTTTTTGTGTAATTCGTTTCTCTTTCCAGCAAAGTAACCATTGTTTACTGTACTGAAATGACTGATTACGGCTGCTTTGGGACTACCTGTCGTACCCTAGATATAAAGAGAAGATACATAAATCACTGATTTGAAAATATAAGTATCATTACTGAAGAAGTTAATTATGTATATTTGTATGCATAAACAAGTCGTACAGCAGTTATAGGCTATTGTGAGTCAGGCTTGTAACACGCAGAAAAAAAGTACAAACGACTATAATCGCTGTACTTATATACAGGGTGTCCGGAGATAAAACCGACAAGATTTATGGGGTTATAGGGACTGTCAATATGATTGCAAAATGACATTAACCAAAAAATTCAATCCGCCATATCAAATACAGGGATTAACCGATTAGATTCAAATTTGGTACACGGATTACACTGAAAAGCATCAACAAGTAGCCCTCTGATCGAAACCAATATCAGGACCAGAATGATATTTTTTCCCTATGTTGAGTTATTGTGAGAATAACTCACCCTGTATAATGATATCCAAAAATTTCAACTCAGATTCGAAATCTACGTTGAAAATTGTATAGGAATTTGTTGAAAAATCTCCTGGCACCATCTTAGTTATTCCGTAATTAATTATTCTTTTGATTTTTTCCATTCAAAAATCAATTATTGTCGGATATAGTACCATCAAAATTGGTATTATAATAAATATTAACCAAACGATGATATGACTATCGTTATTTTTTTCAATCAGTTCGTAAATCGTAGTAGAATAAAATATCCGAAAAAACTGAAGAATAAATTCGTATCAGGACTGGAATGACGTTTTTTATGAATATATTCCTGTAAGAATAGATGATCTTGAATAATAATAATGAAATTCACTGAGAAACGTTGAAAACTTGTTGAAAAATGATCAGACTGAACTTTCAAATAATGAATCCGAAATGAGAAGCTTATAATGTTTGTGAAAAAAGATTACTAGACTTGTGTCAAATTCAGAATTTCATTATGGAAAACCATTGTTAAGCTGTCATAAGCGTTCGTTTTATGGGTGTTCATTCATTATTCCAGTGTTTTTAGGATCAAACTATAGTTCTGAGAGTGTGTTTATGATGCCGTTTCATTTCACTAATGAGGAATACGCAGATATTCTATTTGTGTATGGGCTTCACCTGGTCACCTTGTCACTTGACCCGAATCTATTGCAAGGTGTAAATACCTGGGGTAGGTATGTGGTTTCAGCATAATGGTGCTAGACCTCACTTTTCAGTTCCAGTTAGAAACCATCTCGATGCCAATTACCCCAATAGATGGATTGGCCGTGGAGGTCCAGTAAATTAACCACCGCGATCCTCTGATCTTACTGAGCTAGATTTTTTCTTATGAGGTCATTTGAAGTAAGAAGTTCATAATGAAGAGATTAGAATTAGAGAAAATTTAACAAAGAAAATTACTGCTGCCTGTGTTAGTGTTAGAAATAACCCTAAAATAATTCGCAAGTCAGTGAATCATCTAATAGCACGCTCTGAAAAATGTATTGATGCTGGAGGGCTCCACTTCCAAAATGTTTTGTAATACTGGGTAGTGAAAGTTTTTTTACGAATTCATTGGTTTTGTTATTTTCATTAAGAACATTTATAGTTCGTTGTGTAGTATTCTCATAAATTCAAATTCATTAGTGAGCGCATATAATTTACGAAAAATTCACTCTTATCCTTTGTCAACAGGTTCTTATACGATTTTTTTAGATTCCGAATCGACGATCAGATTATTGATAATTATTGATGTACCCACTGGGTCAGCTAATATAAACAAAAAAAAAACTCATTCCAGTCCTGATACGAATTTATTCTTCAGTTTTTTCGGGTTATGAGAGTATTTCATTTTACTACGATTTACGAACTGATTGAAGAAAATAACGATATTCATATCATGGTTTGGTTAATATTTATTATATTACCAATTTTGATGGTACTTTATCCGACAATAATTAATTTTTGAATGGAAAAATAAATGAAAATAATTATCAATTACGGAATAACTGAGATAGTGCCATGACATTCTTCAAAATCTATCGGATTTTATAAATAATTAATTTTACAACAGCAAATGACAGTTATTGTCAAGTCAATGGCCGCTCTCGCACCGAGAAGTATAATATAGTAACCAGTAGGCAAGTACTTGCCTTCAAAAATAGTCGATTTTTCATTCGTAAATAAGTACACGTAATATGTCATTCTTCGTATTGGTTGACGAATAATGTATGTATACATACCGACGTCAATTGTATATTAAATGGATTGTCGAAACCAATTTTTTGTTGATTTTTCTTCACCATTTCAATTTCAGCTTCTCCAGGCATATTCAATACTTCATTGTAATTAAATGATCCACTGAAAAATATTATTTTATGAATAAAAGTTTATGTGTTATAGGTACAGGTCTACTCATTCAAAACGGAACGACTTGTATGAAAAATCCTTCAGAATTCTAACCTCATCAACTGGATAATAGGGTATTTATCAATTACTTATGACAGATTATAGAGGACGAAATTATAATATTTCACTTAATGAAATCGAAAATGTTTCTATCCCTTTTGAGATCTTATTCTGTGTGCTCAATAGTTAAAGTTGACGTTGACGTTCTTTTTTTTTTTCTTGTAGACAATGAAACCAATAATACATCAACAAAACTTTCCGTTTTATCTGAGCACAACTGTAACTTATCAATTATGGTATCTCACCCCAACTTTTCTTCAGATATCATGATTATATTTCGTAGGGAAGGCATATTTTTCATTCGTAAATGTCCAGGTGTATTCTTGTTCAATTCAGGACAAATGGATTCTAGTATCTCGTAGTAATTGTGCTTCCTGAATTTGTGTCCACATATTATGCCTTTCAGTGCCACCTTGTTGATAGAATATTCCAGTTCTCTTCTTTGGTATGCAGGATTTAGAGAAACCAATAAGTTGAAATTTTCAATTATTCATCATGTTTGATCTTTATCAAGAGGCGCACCCAAAAATATACAGATTGGGAACATAATTTTCTCAACTAATGCGTGCATTCATTCGGAATATATGTATTCGTTTGATTTTAGCCCTGAACAAAATGAATCCAGAAAATCACAATGAGAATAAAAAAACTGTTCTCAATATTTCTTGAAGAAATTCTGAGGGAATGGTGTCAAAACAATTTCATTTCTTGCCAAACTCGAACTCAGGAGAAGTATTTGGAAGCACATATATAGAACTATTCGATATAAACAATGGCTTCCACTTTCCAGAATGTTTAAGTGCGTTCCTGGATTTTCACAATTTTGAATACGTCGGTCAATTGATTAGAAGTATCAAATATATGATACAACATAAATTCTTGCCCAAGTCCAAGAGTTACCACTTCAACACTTTTCTCATCATAAATTAATTGATTTGAAATATTGTGTAACTGATGCATTTGAAATTTTTGATGAAAAGTACGTTCAGAAATCGAAGAAGCGTATACGTTACGTTACGTTATTGTTTCTATAAATCAGGAGTCCAGACCTCATAAATCGAGCTTGGGTGCGCCTCTATCTGCTATCTGCAAATAAACTTACCACCACCAAACCTGCTCTAGCACAACCTAGGAAAGAAGTGTACCATTCAATTTGGTTCGGGGCCCAAAGTCCGATACTCTCCCCCTGAACGAACCCCATTTTCATGAGACCTGCTGCTAGGCGATCTGCTTCGTACAAAATGTCAGAGTACGTTTTCCTCTTGTCTTGGTGACAAGAAACAACTGCTGTCGTGTTACCATGATCGAAGCAGGTCTGTTCCAGGAGTTGTCCGACTGTGAGAGGTCTCAAGGGTTCTTTTCCAATGTTGTGGATGTAGCTGAGGTCGCTGAAATCTCTTTTCCTGAAGACAACAATATGTAGCCTCGTATTCACTGTAGATCTGAAAATATTTAGAGTCTACCTAGTCATTGAAGGGACATCATGATTGAATCATTCTCCATAGGTTCAATGCGTAAGCATGAGCAATATTCAGATATCGAATATAAGGTTCCAATGGTGAAATAGATCCGCCTTCAGAAAAGATAATATATCCTAAATATTTATTCCACAACAGGTCAGTGAAGACTCCCTAGCTCCTACTAACAAGTAAACTCGTTTATACAAATAAATCATTCATTGTTTGTACTCGCGATGGAAATAGTTATTTAACCAACTAGTGTATTAATGAGGGCGATTAATGTTCGAGATCATTAATCGCCTTTTAATATACGAGTTGGTTACAAAATTTTTCCGTCGACTATATTTCTCATTTCTCCTGCTATAAAGAAAACTTGGTTCGCGAATTCATCATTCATCCGGAAACTGCTAAGAATTACCCAGTAGCCTTGTTACTGACATTAGTGACATTTGACATTTGTCGAAATAATCAACATAGAAAATAAATTCCTTGTGTTAGAAAACAGGGATTAAAATCGTTTCAGAAACTTGGAAAGGCGAACCCGTTAACGGAAAATCTTCGATAAAATCCATATTTTCGATTTAAATGCAGATTCCGTAAGTTATAGCATAAACAATGAATGCACGCGGTGTATGTTTGGTTGCCTATAAAACAATCGTTCATTAATAGACAAATTGATCATTAATAGGGGTCATTAATGAACGATTTCATATACATTAAACTTAGTCGTTAATACGAGGTCGACGGAAAAAATTTTAAAATCACGTGAAGAAAAAATAACTGAAAAGCCACATCACGTTTAAGAGCATGTAAGTCAACCAGGCAAACCATGTGAGGTTGATGTGCTTCACCATCCGCACCAGAACCAATCACAAACCAACCAAGAGGTAGGTCTAGATATAGACAACTAGAATAGGCTCGAGAATTAGGCATTCCAGAACCCGTGACCTAAAAATGGCCGCTGTACCTGCCCCGTTTCCGTCCGTACTTCAAACGTCAAAAATTTACTTCCTCTTCCTAGTCTTCCTCTAAATTGCGAATTTTAAGGTTATGATCTTCACTGATTTTGTTTTGATTTTTTGATATTATAGTTTTTATCATGAATAAAGTGAATATTTATTGAAATTAGAAATTTCTGATGGTCATAATATAGAGCGATACAAAGTAAAAATCCAAGTCATCGATTCTATTGATCCCTATTCTCTGCAGAATAATGGAAACTCAGGCTCCGATGTTTCCTGGAGTCACTTCAATAGATATCTTGACATGATATAATTGTCCTCCTCCTAGTTTTTATACTGCAATGATGCAGAGCAAACGAAAGCTCATGAAAGTTTGAGTGGGTATAAATTTTCTGAGGCATGTTTTGTACAAATACCTATGTGGAGTGAAGAAAATCAGTGGCATATGTTTGTTGTTCTAGGCAGTCATACTATGAGTGGATAATTGATAGTACCTGTTAAATATTTGATATTTTTGCAGGTGAAACATTTTGAAATAATGATTTTACCCTCACTAGAAGTCTGATGGGTATTGTGTAAAAGTGATCAAGGAATAAATACAGAGCCCATCCCACCTGCATGGCTGGGCTGTCAGAAGTTAGGACATTAGTAACTCATATTCAACCTATAGAAGGCAACAGCTCTCAGAAATATCCAAATCTTTAAGAGAAATTGACCTAGCAAATATCTGATATCCCTGCCATGCATAAGCAATTAATCATATTAATTTCTCAATCATTTTCACACAAAAGAGGCATATTATAGTGAGTGTAGGTACTTTCCTCCTTTGATGCCCTTTTACTTACAAGGACAATACCAATGCATATCACTGATTCCCTCCACTTTACCTATTTGTGCAAATCCTGTTTGGAAAATTTGTATCAGACTCTTGTAAGCTCTCTGATCTGCAAGGATTCAAACTATTATGATTCAACTCTGAATATCTAAAAATGTATAATGACCATAGTAACTCCAGAAAATATTTTGATGTTAGTCTTGCTCTGCAATATCACTACTGGAAATTTATGTCAAAAATATTTACAAAGAGGAGAACCTACTATTCTTTGATATTTACTTTGTTCTTAAATACTAGACAAATATGAAAATTCACAAATAGGATATTGACACAATTCCCCCACATATCTACACAAAAATTAAGCTATATTGTAAATAGTTTCTTTTAACCTTATAATTCATTAAAACACTACATATTCATGCTTCATGATTTTATTCATCTTAACTAGTTTTCTCAAACACATTTCAATGTAATACCTGTAATAATAATTATATAGTCAACAGAATGTCTTGTTTGCTGTATTGACCAACAATTCATTGAAAAACAGATCAACCTTGTTCATCAATAATTCTTCTTGAATTTGAAATTTAGAAATTTTGACTATCATCACAGTTCCTCAAAGTATCTATAGATATCATGATCACACAAAATACTTATTAATAATTACAAACATTTGCTATCATAATGACTACCTATCATTCATACACAAAATACAAGGAATATTTTTCTCAACAATTTGATTATGAATTAACATATGAATCCACTGTTCATTGATGTTTCATGAAGAGTTTGTGAAAATTGACCCACCAAAAGTGTTGGCACAAAGAAAAATGTCTCACAACAATATAATAAATTTCAATCTTGTTCATTAGTGTGTTAGAAAAAAAACTGAGTATTTCTACTCCTGTGTTCCCAAATATCTACCAATCATGATTCATTATTTAGGTGAGTTGTGAGTGAGAAGAAAGTCCACTCATGGGCAATAAAAACAAGCAAACCAGTTTTGTTCAAAATTCAAAAACAGGCATATCTAAATATCAATTTTGCAAATGTAATCTTATCATTATTCACTCTGATATGGTGACATCAACATAAAATATTGTATATTTTTTCACTCCACATGAATTCTCACATTGGCAGTAGCTCTAGTTCCCACAATCTCAGTAGGATGTAATTGTTTCTTTCCTTTTGTAAAAGCTTGAATCTTCACTTGGGCATTCAAAATTTGTACATAGTCACCAACCAAAAAGCCATGGTCACCTAAAATCAAATCACCTACAAATTGAATTTGTATTAATTGAAAGTTGGATAGATACTGTTTAAAATTCAGATGGGTTCAGGAAGATTGTTAGAACAGTAGACATACATAAATAGATTGAAAGTCAAGACAAGTGGAACATTTTCAACAGTGCATGCTATTTAATAAAATTAGTTTTTCCATGCATATAAAAGATCTCTAGCTTCTAGTCAATAAAACTAATTTAAAAAGTTTATTCTCTTTCAGTAATTCTGGATTCAATAAAGATTGGTAGGTATCAATTATATTCAATTGATCTTGTACAGAAACTCACCTGGAATAATATCATCTATTAATTTTGAATTGATTGTTATGGGATAATCAGATGCTCTTTCTCCACAAGCCTCACTGATCGAACATACTGTTCCTTGTGGGGTGATTCCTATCAAATTATAATTAGATCAGCACTAGGCTGACAGCTCTGATATTTGTTTGTGAATATTTATCACATTCAGGAACTATACTAAGGTTCTCATCTTGAAAATCTGATGATCCTACAGCCTGTTCATTAGATGGCCCTGCAGCCTGTTTGAAATCAGATGGTCCTGCAGCCTCAGCTTGGCATTCTGATGTTTCCATATCATTGATAGTTTCCTTAGATTGGTTGTCAGAGGCTAAGCTATCATATCCCGAAAATAAACTGGGAGCCCAGTTAGGATTATTAACATCTCATAGATATGTAGGTTTCCCTAAAATGTCCATTATACCTATTATATTTACTACTATTCATTACCTGTTTCAGTGAACTCACCAAGTAGGTAGGAAATGTTTGCTGCAAACTCTCAACATTTCGAGTTTCTGCTCCATCAAACCATTTCTATTTATCCACTTGTCTCTTCTTTTGATAATTCATTGTTCCAATTTATGTCTAAATTTCGAGACACTCAGGATTCGATGAAACTTCATGCTATCACGATATTACCGACTCTTACAATTGATTATTCCACAATAAAACATTGTTATAACACAAACACCAAGCAAAACCTATCCAAATAGTGTCCAGAATACACCACAGGAATACACATCAACTATTCAATAATTTTCATAAAGATGATGCAATCCTAATAAAACTAAGTATATAAAGTTCAATTATCAACTAAATAAGCGAAGAAAGCAGCATTTAACACATTTTAAATTTAATTGAAAATATGGTTGAAAAAGTCACGGAGTGACAGCTATTTGTTTGGGTACAGCAACCATCTTGAATCTGATTTTGACAGCATTCCGAAATACCTAATAGGTGTTGGACAACACATAACCTTCAAATCTATGATACCAGCCACCGTTTAGCGTGGTTTAGCAGCGTCTGAGTAACCCTAAGACTCGCGAAGTTAATACCACAAACTTACGACTCGTTCTTCGTTATTTCTATATTACTGCCTATAATAGTTTGATCGAATGGTAATTTTTCGGTAGAAGGTTTCTGAACAGAATCATATGTTTTTTTCGTGTGCCGAACTGAATCTGAAGTTTGCTGCCTCGTAACAGTACCGGTTCGGGTTTAAAAACGTGAAAACATCAAAATCTTTGGAATTCTTCCAGTTTGCTCATATCTTGCAAACGACTCACCGTACGGAAAATTGGAGAGCATGAAATTTTGCGTTGAATGACGTATATCTAACTCCCCCATATTCCCAAATTTATAAGGTCGGATTATTTCAACGGTTTAATTATGCAACTAGCTATCGATGTATATTTCGAATACTCCGAAGTACTTATAGTATTACTACTGAGTATATTACTATAGAAAAAAACTGGCTCCTTCCGGATGATGATAGCGACCTTATGAATTCGAGAATAGGGAAGATAGGAACGTCAATCGGCTGGGGATAGTCCTGCACGATTCGCTGTTGCGTTCCAATTAACAGTGCTGCTTCTAAAGTGGCCC